CCCCAAAACCCCAAAACCCCAAAACCCCTGGAATCTCCTCCTTGTTAGATTCGTAAATAGTTTTAATCGAAATAATTTTCTTTTATATTAAATAAAAGATATAATATAATGTCTGCAACTGAGTCACAGCTTTCACCAGAGTAACTGTATGAATAGATTGAGAAGGAGTACGATTTACCTATCTAAGACAAATCACTGAACAGCCTTGTGGTTATGCAATATAATTTTAGAGACCTCAAGAAAACTATTGATTTCTTGCTTAATAACCAGAAAAAATAAGCTTTTATGATTCAATAACTGATAAGAAATAATAATAATGGAGATAAGGGGCAAATCCAGATTATTGAAAGGATAATTGAAAAGGTACAGCCCCCTCCTGAGATTCAAAAACAGAAATCAATTGAGGAGCAGAAGATTCCTATCAGACCCAGAATTGATAGTGATGAATTTGCACTTAGAGCTGGATCTCAGCACCAGAATCCTCAAGGAATGACTGAAGATGAGAAAAACCAATTAGCTGCGAGCTAAAAGTCAATAGATGATCTCAAAAAAGAGTTAGAGGATTTAAAGGTAATAAATAATTCTACTTACTTAATACTCTTTAGAATAAAATTGAAGCTCTCATTGGAAAGACTGATACTCACGAGTCCAAAATATTCGATAATTCAACTGAGATAGAAAATTTGAAACTCCAAATGGAACTAAAAGCTCTAAAAAAATGTAAGAATACTACACTTTAGTATTAATTATTAATTAGAGAGGACATTAATTTAGTAAAATGATACATAAGGGTTAATAAATGGGGAGGGTCAGCCTTAAACTATCAATCAATAGGATAAATAATTGTCAAGAAAGGATTCAAACCATACTAATGATGGGGTCTAAGCAAATAAAGCTAATACTGATGAGCACATCCCAGTGTATACTGCTTCCACTATAGAAGTTCCAAGTAATAATTACCAAGCTCAGATTGATGAATTAAAGAAGTCCATTAGAGATCTTTCTGTGATCAGTCAAAGGCCAACTATGACTTAAAGAGCCTCAACATTAGATGCCAATAATAATGGCGGCAACATCAGTGGAGATGAGTTAAAGGATATCAAAGATAGGCTTAAGCTTAACGAAATCAAAATCGATGATCATGACTCTAAGATTTAACTTATTTTGAGATCTAGAAAAGCTGGAGGCAATAATTCAAAGTAAGCAAACAATAACGAGGACACTTCTACTGGAATTGATATTGCGGAAATAATTGCACTCTTAGATTAGGTTAAGGCAGATCTGAGAAAAGAGTTGGCTCAACAAACTGATCATGAAGCGGTTGAGTAAAGAGTGACCAAATTGGAGTTAGATGTTAATTAGCTTTTTACTGAGCTTGATAATACCAAGTTGTAGATCTAACTTAACACTGAATAGATAAACGGCCACTCTAACAGACTCAGTGCTGAGTCTGATTTAATAACTGAACTCCAAAATAATCTTAGAAAAGTCAGCGATGCAGTCAAGTAGAAAGTAGATGGAGATGAAATTGATAGCATGAACACTCTACTTAATGAGCTGAGTGAAAGAGTTTAGGAATTGGAGAAGGGAGGTTCTCATATTGAAACTAGTAGTAATTTAATGGCATCAACCCATGAACCAAGAAAAGTTTCGCAAGTTAACAGAAGAGTTTCTAATCCGTAGGTGAATCCAAAAGACTCCAAACAACTTAAAGAGCTAGTTGATCAAGGCCAACTTCTCAAAGAGAGAATAGACAAAATTACTAAGTAAGAACTTATATATATTTATTGAATATAGCGAGGTGGCAACAATCAGTGACTTACGTGAAAAGATAAAAGACATTTATTTATAACTTGAAAAGAAAGTAAGCATTGGAGAATTCACAAAAATTCAAACTATCGTTGGTAATTCTAAATATATCCTTAATTCTTTTTTAGATGAGTGTAATTTATCTATGATGAAATCAAAGACTGAAAATGAATTTATAAGATAATCAGTGTCCCAGACGAAGTATGATATTCAAGACTTGCAAGACCTTCTGAGAAGTGAGGTCTAAAAGCTTGGAATAAAAATTGAGGAATTTAATGAAAAGTTGGAAGAATTATACAAGGCTCATAATGAGAAAAAAGCAATTCTTAATATCCCTGTTAATTTAGATGGGCTCAGTAAAGGTGGCAAGAACGGCGGAGGCAAAGGATTTGATGCGGGATTGATCGTTGATGCTCTTGAAAAAATGAGAGATTATATTTCTTCTGAAAATAAAAAAATGAGAGAAGATTTCTTCAAGCTGCATATTGAAATCGAAGGAAAAATGAAGGATAAGCTTGACAAAACAGATGTTGAATTACTTGAGAGTAATAACTAATACCTGTTAATCTTATTATAGAGAGATTATATGAACAGATGGATATGATGATCAACGAGAAAACTAAGAGATTTGTTGATAAAGTTGATTTAAAGAAAATCAAGGTTTAACTTGACAAGTAGATTGAGAATCTATTCGCATTAATTCAGGCGAGATTATCTGCTTAAGCAGATGGAGACTAGGCTATGCTAGCCAAGAAGCCATTAGGTGGCTGGTCATGCGCTTCTTGTGAGAAAAATTTAATAAATTTGGCAGGCCAGACTAATGATAATTTGGCATGGAACAGACTTCCATTTAGAGATCCTAATGAAAGAATGGCTAAAGTAGGGTAAGGATTCTCAAAGATGCTCTAAATGATGAAACCTCTCGACGTCGGTTAATCTAGAATGGCCATGGATGATACTCATATCAGCAACATCACAGGACACAATTTCGGTTAAAACGCCTCTTCAATGCCTGATCTTAAGGTAGGCACCTCTCATATTGAAAGAAACCAGAATCTTTCACCTGCTCAACCAAATTAACTTTCAGTCAAAAAGATGGCTACTACTTAGATTAGTTTCTAAAATGATTCAGTTGAAGGAGATGCATAACAATCGCTTAATAACACCTATCAGCAGCACAACAGGTCCACAACACAACTTCCAAAAATTGGGCAAAAGGTACTATCTTTAATTATCTTAACTTTATTTATAGCATTAGAAACCTAAACGATGATTAACAAGAAATACTTTCATATTACTTATTTTACCCTTACTTTTAATCCTAAATTTAATTCAAAGTAAGCATACTGGGGTTTTGGGGTTTTGGGGTTTTGGGG